GCACAGTGAATATACGAACATTCCTTGTCCAGGATTCGAGTATATTTCTGAATTTCACATTTTTTCTTTCCTCCCTCATACGGTATTTTCTAACGTCACTTACATATTACATGTACCAGTATATATTGAGTGCAAAATCATTTATTGAGTTAGTTCATTCAATTCGCTTACTTTTTTCGTGTGAATAAATCAGCATTTCCGATCGATACTTTGTATCAAATATCAAAGTTATCCTGAACCTGTGACAAAATCTGATTTGAATTTTTTTAAATCATTAAAATAACCGATGAATTTAATCGATATTATATTAAAATTCGGATAATTCTGGAAATAGATGCAAAGACACTTTGCGAAGAACTTACAACAGCATTGGGGCCCGATGCTCCAGCATAGAAAATCCAGAAATTCCGGCGTAGATAAAACCATGACCATTCTTCTATTGCGATTTCAATATTATCGGCTAATTTAATTTTTGGAAACGATGCAAAAAAAGCCACTAACTAAGTGCATTGCACATAAATATTTATTGTCTCCATCTAAACAAATATAGAATGAACGGAAATGCTGAAGTTCTTGGTCAGTAAAATATAGTTTTAAATTTGATCGATTCTAAACTCTTAATTCTGTGTTGTTACGGTGTCTTGTGAAGGAATCGGTTGAATCATATGAACGTGCAATAGGGGTGCTTTTTCAATTGAGCTAAACTATGTCTGTAGTTTATCAAATGAGTCTGTTTGCAAATATGAAGGAACTGGTACTCCGTTTGATAAAGGAGTGGAAAATTTAATAAAACTATTTGTTTTTGAACAATAATGTAATTTTCGAAGGTTCTGCGCAGAAAACATACTGTACATCGAATAATTGTAAATATTTTTCGAATTATTTAAATCTAAATTTTCCTTCTGTTATTATTATTTCACTGGACTTTTGGATTGGTATTGAGGACAAGAGTCAGCTATGTTCAAAAATGACTACTGATCGCATCATGCAGGATGACAATAAACACCTAATATGTGTTTATTTTACCAAGTTTAAAACTATCTTCTACTGAGCAAGAACTTCAGCATTTCCGTTCATTCTATATTTGTTTAGATGGTGACAATAAATAATTTCAAAATATGTACAACAGAACTTCTATAGGTGGTTTCAATCGAAACGGATCCGAGTGGGAGGTTTGACGTTATGTATTTTTAAAAAATTTTTCGGTCTGTTAGAACGAGACTGCTAATTAAGGCTCTAACTTAATTATTCTGCTAATCTTAATGGACAGAAATGCAGTTATAATGAACGGTGTTCATTCTATGCGCAGTACTCGCTAAAAATACGCGTTTTTATTCCGCTTTTTACATATGTGATTATTTATAATATTCTAAAGACATTCTTCACTTGAACTTGACCAAAAGCCGGCTTCTAGAGACCGGCGCACGTCAAATTCTGTTATTCCGTGTAATTTTCACGGATTGATCATAATTACCCCATGAAAAACAGTAAAGTGATCAGAATTACCCCAAAGCATATATATAGAAAAACTGACTTTTAACTTTGAATCTTTTAATTTTCGTAATTTCTCATTAATTAATTCAGGTCGAGTCCGAATGATCTGCAATTCACGTGAGAGATAGAGCAAAGAATTCTCTACAAAATGAACTAATTATTAATTTATTTGCTTAAAATTCCCCGTTGAAACGAAGTTGTTTAAATTCATTCCATCCATTTTGGCTGTGCTAATCATAATTACCCCATTGGTAAACGTTGACTGATCAATTTTAGACGCTAATGAAGTTTAAGATGATTTTTACATCGATCTATAGGTAAGACTCAGTTCCACCTACCTGTGAAATATCTCTTTTTTTTGATGGAAACTGGCTGCAGCGCTGCAAGAATACTAAGAAATATTTTTATCTTGATCATAATTACCCCAGACTACTCTAGTCACTATCTCATCGTGTCTTCCTTTGACACCAATGTTTATATTGCATCATGTTTGTCTGTTACATTATATTCAAACATAATATAACAGAAAAGATGAATATAATATATCTTGTACATACAACGCCAGATTCGAACAGGTTAGTTGGAGCCCAACATAGAGTTGACTTCGAGATCGATTTAAATTGAAAATAAACGATGCTTCGAGAAAATGGCTAGCACGGTTATGTCAAATTTCATGAAACATTCTTGCAGCCTAACATAATGAATTGATGCAGAAAGATCATGGAATGAACATAATTAGAAAAACGTTTTTTTCTGAACATTGTGCCTTTTTATCTGTGATTTTGCCAGAATTATCCCTATCTGACTACTGGAACCCGCTAGAATGAGCATGATTTTCTGTTATTGTCTTTTGTTAGTTGTAGCTGGCAATCTAATACCATGACATATGTACTTCGAAATAATTCAGATGTTTGTGATGATAATGATCAGATGAATTTCTTTGATGATAGTGTACTATTAAATAAAGAAGACATAACAATAATATGGTTTGATAAAAATATTGACTTAAATAATATGAATCATGATATTTTAAAAACGAAACAAATGTTTGAACAAATTCATAATTATATATTATATTTTACAGATATAAATACATGCATCGATTATATGCAAACAGTTATATATGAAAAAATATTGTTAATTTTGTCTGGTACGGATGCCAATGGTCTTTTATCATTAGTTCATAGTTTTCGACAAATTGATACCGTATTTTTATTTTGTATACAAAAACATGAATGCGAATATTTATTAGATAAATATTATAAAATCATTGGGATTTTTATCGCTCAAAACCAGTTGATAAAAAGTTTATACGATAATATACAATTGGTTACAAAACAATTGCTTGTATTGGGTTTATATAATCGACAATAAAATCCAATACACTATACTGTCGACAAAAAACAGCATGAATACTCTTATTTGTATGCTGAGTTTCAACTATATAGAGAATTAATTATTCGTTTGATAACAGATAAACAGTTTAATAATAATGAATTTGATAATGAAACATAAGATATGTTAGCGATATTTAAAAGTTATTATCGTGGCAATGCACAAGAAATGAAAAATATTTTAACATTTGAGTCAATGTACACATCTACACAGGCCATACAATGGTATACAAAACAAACATTTTTTATAAAATGGTTAATAAAGTATTGAGTACAGGAAATTTTTCTAGTTTACATGTATTTCGTTATTTTATTGCTGATTTATGTTTACATTTATGCCAATTGCATTATGAACAACTTGAAACATCATCATCGACATTAGGTCTTACTGTGTATCGTGGTGTTAAATTATATGAGTATGAAGTTAGTATGATAAAATACTCAACAGGACAAATTATTCATCCAAATGGTTATTTATCGACAACAAAAAATCGTTTCGTTGCTGAAATGTATGCCGGTGTTGGTGCAAGATGCTAAGAACAAGATGAGTTGAAATATGCTCTATTTGAAATTGAAATTGATTTGACACTTTCAGATAATACTGCTGCATATGCCAATGTTTCGTCGATTAGTCAATTCCCAGATGAAGAAGAAATTTTATTTGATTTAGGTGTAAAATTGGTTATTAAAGGATGTAGTTATGATGATGATAAAAAGCTATGGATATTTAAGTTGAAACCTATTTCGAATGACGATCGTCCCTCTACGTCTGATTTATCATATTATAATTTTACTTTGATGACAACATCCAAAATTATCAGTTTCTATTTCTTTTTTTGTATTTATTCATTTAGGACGTTCAGCTGCTTGGGAGAGAGACTAGTACAGATAAGTAAAATTCTCTTCTCTTCATGGAACAGTAGTGCTCATAGAAACCAATGTGTTATTTATAGTCAGCAGGGGGGTCCAATTTTTCTTGACTTTGCCCCACTGCTTTTTCCACTTAATCTTGATCAGATTTTGTAGAGAAAACAACTTTACACATTTTTAAGTGCATATGTACCATTATGAGCCTATGGAGGCTTTTTAAAATAACTTTTCTGAGGAGGTACATAAAGCATGTCGGTGCTTAACAAAAGCGATTCTGTTCAAAATCTAATAGGAGGTTACGGTTGTTCAGTTTGTTTCATTTTGTTCAGAAATATGATCGTGTACGAGAAATCATATGTAATAGGTCTACATAATCATTTACAGTAAATTAAGTTTTATATCCAAAACATTCGCACCAACCATGCTTTGTCGTTGTGTTACTAATAACACACAGATTGGCAAGCAGTTTCCTGCTAATTGGATAAATTCTTGACTATTAATAAATCTCTCTATTGATCGTCTACACTTATGTAATAACCCCAAAACGCTAGTGCAGGTTGATTTAGTTCTGTAGCAGAATAGTTTTTAATTATGTAATCCCAGAAAAACAATGAAAAGTCATAATCATTTGTATATTGTAGAAAATTGATAGTTATCAAACCCTTATTGTAAACGAATTTGATGATTTGAGACAAAATATTTTGGTTTTCAGACTTTGTATACTTTTGTATATTTGCGTCGTTATCAACAACAAGAAACATCGATATTCACTGACGTCTCTATGTTCATTCATCGTGAGATATTCGAAAAATAGCAATTTTCAGCCGAAATAAGTGTCTTCTGTGTTGTTAATAATTTTAATTTCTTTAATTCTCTATATCATACAGGAAAAAATGAAACTTTTACAATGCAAAATGCCTCTTTTATAACGTTGGCGATATATCGGCGAAACGAGTAGGTGTAAATGTATAGGGCTATTAGTATCGCCCACGATACCTCGCAGATGTTTTAAAACTTTTTAAATTACATATTCTTTATCGGAATACAGTATGGGATTCTTGAAGTTCTATGGAAGCCATAGAAATTGTTCGAAATTCAAGAACTTTAATATTTTCAGAATTCCATAATGCTCACAATGGCTGAATTTCAAGAAGTTCAGAAACTACTACCATCAGCAATAGAAATACTCAGTTTATTTGGGAAGGATATATTGCAGCTGAACTTAGTCTCATGCTCCCAGGTAGGCAACGAAAAATGTCTAAGATTATATAAATCATTTAAATGACTAGGTTCTTGATTTGAGACGTTTTATTCGAATTGTAATGATCGCTGTAATTTACGCTAGCTATCAAACCGATGAGTCATCACATACACTCTATTAGCTATTTGTAGATCCAAAGTAATCGATTTCACTTATATCGCCGTGTACATCGAAGAATGGAACGTTTAAAAATTGGGATATCATTTTAACGTTATTTAATCATTGTCGATGTTGCGTCCCTACGGCACCTCTCACACTATATTCATTCACTTGGAATTTTTATTTTTCATTATCAAGATCGAATCTCTTGACTAGGTCCGAGAATAGAAACGCAAAAAAGGTTCGCAGGCTATTAACTCTTAATCTCCTTTAGCAAGGAAAGGGATGACTGAGGTAGGTCTGAGAATAGAAAGTACGACAACAAATGTTTTCGTGGAGTGCATAACACCTTTTCATTTATTTTGAACAACACTTTTAATAACAAATACAGAAAAAATAACAAAGAAATAACAAAAAATAGATTACAAACACAACGATATATTTTTATATCAAAAGTAACAGTAAGGTGAGAACAAACACCTAAAAGACAATAACACAAAAAGAACGATCTATTTTTGCACAAACACAGATCGGTGCGGGCTACAGAATTATTCTACTTGCAGACTTTTGATCGATGTAAATTTGGGCCGACTTACGTGGAAGTTCCCACACAACCCAGAGAAACGCTCGAATTACGAAACCTTCCAACACTCATTTTCTATTAACATAAAAGCACAGTTAGCCCTTTTCTCACACTCCACCTCTACCACACATTATAATAAAACGTTTATATTTAGTTTTTTCAACACACGCTGTTTTACGTACGCCAAAAATATTTCTTTATAGGATGGTGCTGGTAAAACAAATATGAAAAAAGTAGCAATCGACGTTGATAATGAAAGAAAATAACTAATTAAATAGAAATAATTTTGCCATTTATATTTTATACACTGCACAAGCAAAGCTAAAATTAACGATGGTAATTTAAGAGATATAATTAATATTGGACTTATTATTAAGTCTTTATGTAATACAAATTGCTTTTTCAGATTATTCATACGCATTCTTCTTTCAGTCAACGTTGACTTTTTTCTAGCAAAACAAATTAACAATACAATAGCTGATAAAAGATTAATGAAAAACGGCACAATTGAGTTAAATACATTTATTATTTTTTCATACATTTTCAAGAAACTATTACTGTACTTAACAACACACCATGTTTTTCCGTTGCCACGTGGATCATCAATGAGTTCTCTACTAGTTAATTCATGGACCGATGTTAATACAACAAAAGTAATTAAAGCCAGAACAACATATTTAACCACTTTCACACTCAGATTAAGATTATATTTTATGCCTATAATAACACTTAGAACTCTTTCAATTGCTACACAAGCAGTTAACCAGTCACAGAATGTTGGTAAAATCTTTAATAAAAATTCTAATGATAGACAAGACACTTTTAGAAATAATCGGTGTTTCCATATTGTTATTTGAGTAGACAAAAGATAAATAAATCGTGCACCAAATATAATTAAACTTAGTTGACTTGTAATAGATAAGGTCAACTAGGGATGCACCAAACCCGAACGTTCGCGTTCGATGAGTTCGGGTTCGGCTCGGGTTCGGGTTCGCTTATGAAGTTCGAGTTCGGGTTCGGGTTCGTTGCTCCGTCCAGCCATGTTTAGTTCCCTTCCAGAAGCAGGCAGTAGTAAGTCCAAAGAGAAGGTTTC